CCTGGTAGGCTCGCTTACCAGCTGTGTTAAACAGCAGGAAAATGAGCTCTATTATTTTTTCCCTTGTAGACCAAAATCCTTCCTACAGGGTTGTTTTTCAACAAATAAATTACCTTCAAAACACAACCATAGAAGTTAAAAGTTCTTGCTTTGAACTTTGCCAAGGGAAGAGGCCCAAAACAGACTCATATATAAAAATCAAAGGCTCAGTTCTGCCAAAGATCAAAAAAATGCATTGAATCCCTTTTCTGGTGAGGAACAGGAAGAATTCCCTGGTGGTTTTCCCATGGGAAAGGGGACACTGCAGAGCACCACGGGGGCTGCGGCCGGCCCCGCCTGCTCTGCGGGTGCCTCCTTTGGGAAGGGTGCAGAGCTGGTCCCACCATCCCGCTGCTTGTCTCCCCCTCCCTGGCACTGCTCTGCTTGTGTTCAAGCATTGGGAAGTAGCTAGAAGTGAAGAAATGTTATGGTAAATGGTAGAAAAAGGTCCAAAAGGGAGATTAAAGCCTGACCGGGCAGTCCAAGTCCCAAGGCCCGTTATCCTGACACAGCCCAAAGGCTGCGTTAGAGGCCACCTTTGAAACCAGGAGAAGAGCAATTGGGAAATTAATAGGTCAAACGTGGTGCTTCAGAAGTTTGTTTTTGGCAAATCATGTGCCTGTGGTGTTGGACGGGTTGTGAAGCAATACTCTGCTCTGGGGACCGGGCAGAAGGGACGGGGTCAGCCCCCACCGCGGCCCCCCCGGGCAGGACACGCAGGCTGGGAGGGGGTCTGCTCGGGCAGCCTGACGTTCCTCCTTGCGCAGGACCTCGAGTCCAAAATGTCGGCTGGGGCGCTGGGGTCTGACCCCTGGAGGAGCACAGTGCCTGGGGGTCAGGCCGAGGTCGTGCATAAACTCCCCTTTCCTCTCTCGAGCCTCTTTATGCTGTTGCATCTCTTGGGTTTTTGGGTTATTTTTGCCTGATCTTACCTTCTTTTCCTATTCCAAACTGGTGTAAATCGCCTCGTGTGTGGAAACAAACAGCGGCCTCAGCCGGGCTCGGTATTTCACGGTCACACCTTCCACTTTCTCTGTTTACGTATTTCTTCAGGCCGGTCGCAGCGGTTCTTGGCTCCCCAGCACCGTTCGCCCTGTGCTCTCCTGAGGCTCGGAGGTGTCACACCTCCCGCCCTCCTGCCTTGCCCGTTCCAGAGTAAGCGTAACCAAAACCTTAAGGCCAGGGGACAATTCAGGCAGAAAAGGTACACTTGGATATGAAATATATGTATATATTTCTAGTAGTGGCAAACATTTAAAACTGCCCAGAAGTCTGAAATACTCTAATGGCAATGAAATCAGCTGGGGCTGCCAGAGGCACCCAGGAGCATCCAATTAATAGATTATGGGATCATGTAATAGATATGTATCTATAGGTACGTAATAGATACGTCATCAATAGATCATGGGAGCCTGGAAATTTATCTCAAGGATATCAAAATATGCATGGCAACATTTCCTAATTAAACAAAAGAAAACCCAACCTCTGAGTGAAGTATCGGATGGAACAATGTTATCAGACCTCGCTGGGCAAACACGAGGAGCGTATAAAACAAGCTGCTCCAAGGGAAAGCGGCACCTCTCCTTCACCCGCCTTCCGAGAGCAATGGATCTCAAAGTGATCTGTGTGCTCTCCGTTATCCTCGTCGTAGCCCTCAGCACCGTGGCAGAGGGAAAGACATTACCAAGTAAGTACATTCATCTGCTGTTGCCTTCACAGGTCTGTATGTGGGCCTGATCCTACTGACTGTACCTGCAGCCAAGACCACGTCTCCAGTTTACGTATGAGACAGTGAATGTCTTGCTCTGGTACTATTACCAAAGTTGGGGTCTACTTTTTAATTTTTTCAGAGAAATCTGTGGCAAAATAAAAAAGACTGCAGGTGAGCTCTTGTGTTGGTGGAATAACCAGGAACCTGCTACAAAGATAGAGGGACAGACATGTCCAGGAGCTAGCTAGAACAGGACCAGGACAGGAACAGGAGCTAGCTTTGTCTAAGTAGTCTTCTGATATTTATTTTATGCTACGTTGCCGCGTGAATACAATTTCAAAGAAGTCTATCTGCCTCCTCAATAAAACACAAGTCATTTAGACAACTTAAGAATTGGAAAGCAAGTAACTCAATGGCAGACACCTAGGAACCTCTCCAGAATTTGTTGGTTGCAGATGACTGTGCAGTAGACTTAAAATGTTAACAGTATAGCTGCAACTATTTGCACGTAATCCTATGTTTTTATAGTCACCTGATGATAATGCAAAGATTTTGTATTTTTACACCTGTTCGAATATCCACTGGACCCTTAACTCTTTCTTTCTTCACATGGGATGGGCAAAGCAACAAACATTGACTAGCACAACATTTGAAGTTATGGGGTTTTACCATTTGATGTGGTCTATTCGAAGTCCAGAGACGCCACTGTGCTGGGCTGGCGTGGCTGCAAGTGAAGCCACAGGTTGTCGAAGGGTGGAGTACAACCCTTACTGAAATCAGTGGGAGTTTAAAAGCAGCTTTTAAACCGCACAAGTTCTGGCCTTAGGAAGCGACAGACAAGGTACACTTGCAAAGATGGACAGAGTCTAAGGAGAGATCATTGTTCCCAGTGGACATCTGATAAATGCACTTCCGCTAACGAGTGTGCAAACTGACACCCAGTAACTTGCAACTTCTGTCCTGAACAGCAAGATGCCAGTGTAAAATGGACCCCAGGGAGCGGAAGAACTGCGGCTACCCAGGAATCACACCAGTGGAGTGCAGGAAAGCCGGGTGCTGCTTCAGCAGTTCTGTCCCCAACGTTCCCTGGTGCTTTTCTCCTAAAGCAAAGAAAGGTAATATCTCAGCCAGAAACACTGATTCACCGAGTCTTTGATTATGCAGAAATGTGTACAACCGGGGAGTAGCTCTGCTTTTCTTCTTAGGCCAACGAGGTGGGCACAGACCTCTATTAGAAGACCGCTGGTAGTAAAATGCAAAGTCAAACCTTGCTTATCCATCAGTCTTTTGTCTCATCCTCTTCACACAGTGTATTTCCTCTTCCTTCAGGCTTCTAGTTATCAAATAACCGGTGCTGATTATTTAAAAACATTTCACTGCCATTTGTGGTCTTGTTCATCAGTGGAGCAAGGGATCCTCAGCACTTGGGTTTTCTGTGTGGCTGAGGAGGACTTTAGCACTGCACGTGCTCAAAGTCCTGAGTAGATGAATCCCTCCGTAGTTGTTTGACACCTGCACAAAAGACCACAGGCATCCTGTAACTTCTAGGTTTTTTGCTCTTTTCTCCAGCCTGTTTTGATAATTGCTACTTCCTTCCTCTCCTGCCTCTTTCCCAGCATAATTCCACTTGATCGTTCTTTTTTTCTCTCCCATTTTTGCTCCCAGTCTTCATTCAATGAAATCTCCAAAATATCCCAGGGGAAATCCTTTTCTCCATTAGACTCTTCCTTCTAAAGCTTCTAAAGTCCTGCTTCCATTTTTTGCCTTTGTTTTCTCAGAGAGGGTAAGAGCTGTTCAAGGTCTGGGTGTATATTTTACATAAGTGCTGAATGTAAGCTACATTTGCTGGGCTGACTGCACGACTCCTCCCTAGGAGAACTTCAGGGCAACCTCAGCCGTTGCACAGGTGTAACGAAAGGAAGTGAGGGTGCAAAGGCAATGTTGCCTAATAAAAGAACTTGATACAAATCAAGATTGGTCAACAGGGCTCAGAATTGTCAGAGGAAAAAAATAATTTTGCTTTTGAACACTGTTTGCATTTCACGAAAATCTTGAAAAACGAATGGCAGCACCTTACAGTGTCATTTTCATAGAATTGCTTTTCTGAGCAGAGCTGTTTCAGGAGAGAAAAACTGAATTATTCAGGCTGGGTGGTATAGCCTCTTTACCTGTGATTTTACTTTAAATTACCCGGATGAGCTGTGATTTCCTCCTAAACGACCTGCCTCCTTTCCATAACTCAAGCCGGCATGCAGAGGAGGTTGGGTTTTCCTTTCCCTGCATTAGCCAGGCTGCTCTGGGGTTAGCATTGGGTCAGGTCACTGGTCCGAGGCCAGTGTCGGTGGTGCCATTACAAGAGACACGCGGCTTTTCAGCCCACTGCTGGATCTAGGAAACGTAAAGCTGGGTCGCTGCCTACAAGACACTTCTAGGGATGAATTTTGGCCCCTCTGGCCCCTGGGGCACAGCAGCAATTCCTCACCCCTCGGTGTTTAGGTTTGCCTAACAGGCGTGGTAAAGATTTGGGTGAACCTGCTGCCTGAAATTGGTATGGAGAAGGTCATCGTGGCTGTCATGTCTGCTCACGGACCTCACCTTCATGGCCTACCTTTTATTTGTGAATTACGCCACCAGGTAAACGGAGCATAAAGTAACACGGCCTCCTTCCTTCCTTCGTTTTTGCTTTATGCAGCCAGGAAAGTATGTCCCAACGAACCTCACGCCAGGATAAACTGCGGCTTCCCCGGCATCACGGCTAAGGAGTGCGAAAGGAAGGGGTGCTGCTTCAGGGCACATCCCGCTGGTGTCCCCTGGTGCTTCTACCACCGCGTGGTGGAGGAAGGTAACGTCCTGCATGAGACATCGTTCCTGCGTCCCCATGGACGCACCACGGCTCCTGGCAGGGTCCGTGCTGTGCCCGGGCTTGGCGTGCTGTGCCAGCCCGGCGCGGCGGGAGGCCAGGCTCGAGGGAGTGAGCAGGACAGGGTCTCCCCCCCTTCCCAGTGTGGGTGCAAAGCTTCCTCACCCAGGGCGTGAGCAGGGAAGAGGTGGCTAACCCCTAAAAAGATCGGCTTCTTGCACAGAGGGGTGGGTGTTGCCGATGCATCTGAGCCAGGGACTTGCGGGCAATGTGGCTGCACTGGTAGTCCAGGCTCAGGTGTGGGCTGAAGCCCTCAGCTTAATGCGATGGTAGAGGTGCAGCTACCCCACTCACATCTACTTTATCAAGAGATAAAAGGCTTTGCTTTAGAAATGTGGAATGAAAGTTACAGATATTTCTGATCCCCTACTTCAGTTTTTTTAATTAGGATTGACCTTTCAGCATATCTAATGTAGATAACCAATAGCCTCAGCCAATTCCAACCCACCCCACAGTCTATTTTATACTGGAAACAATTCACCATAATCTGGTTTTACTGATCTGAATCCTAGTTAGGAAACACATGTATGGATTGCAGGAGGGGAAGCAATTGCTAAAAAATTGCCTTTTTGATGTCCTGCATCTAGGCAAAACACTTCCTAGCATCTTGTGTAATTCATGGAGAAAACATGTCCCTTAATCTGCTTCTCCTCTTTACCTTCCCAGCTTGTTAAAGGAGAAACTTCCATCAAGAACCTTGCGATCTTTGGCCCTACTCCGATGGGAAACAACAGCCGGAGGTCCCAACTTAGACTTTATAGTCTGCAACAGCTGTGATTTCTCCGTCATTTTTACCTTGGATTGACTCCTTTCTGACAAAAAGTTACTTGCAGCTTTTATTCTTTCAGTAGGCTAGTCCTGTGCAGGTTTTCATTGTAATAAAAGAACTAAGACACAATTTGTGAGTTCTCTGCTGTCTTGATTTTAAAGCTGTGTATTTCTCTGTTTCCCAGGAAATTCAGCATCTTAGCAACCTGCTGATGAGAGAGTTGTCACTAACACTTCCGAAAGGAACATGGCACTCGGCTTTTTGTGTTAGTTACCCTTCACACTTGCAAGTGACGGCTTGCATTTGTTAGCTGATCCGTGGCTTCACACAGGCCACTCGCCCTTCTGAATACTGAAAATATTCAGTGTTTCCCTTTATATAGCTACAGCTGTGGGGTTGGGCTTTTTTTTTTCCCACTCGAGACACAGGGAAGGGTACCTTTGTTAGCTGACCACCGAGCTGGTCTGACTCAGACACCTCCTGCTCTCTGCATCACCATGTCTCTGGTGCTGCCAATCCCTCGCTGCTGCTACCAGCGGGGCACGGAGTAGCTCAGGAAGGCAGGTGCCCACCTGGTACCCTACCTAACCCAACACAGGCCCCGGCTGCTGATGAACCACCAGGTGCTCTCACTCTTAACCAGCATCCCCACAGCCGGGTCCCATGGGTCATGCTCAGGAAAAGCCTCTGCAATGCTAAAAGCAAGAAACAGGTCCCCCTGGCCCTGACCTACGCCTGAAATATTGCCTGCTGCGTCTCGCCAGAGACAGGAGAAGCTCCTGCTCCCCAGGCGAGTGTGACTGCTTTCTCCTGGGTGTCTTTAATGCTCAGTACTGCAGCTCGAATGCTTCCCTGCTTCAGCTGAGTGAGAGCGCAGTAAAGAGCCTCTAAGAGCACCGCTGGGAACAAAATGGGCAACGCGAGACTGAAGGGCAGCAAGCCGTGCTCGGGGCTTAGCAGGAAAGAACAGTTGTGCAGGGTTGTGCTGCAAGGAGAGAGAAAATGGTGGAGACACATGCCTCCTTAGAGGTTTCTCCAAGGACACTTTTGTGATAAGTAAGTTTATCCAAGCGGGTAAAATAAATCGTTCATAAAACTTCATTATCTCGCACTTACAATAGGCTCAATAATATGATTTGAATATGGTAGGATATTGGCTGTAATATGAGCAATAAGCTGACAGGTCTACTGAAGGTCTTTGAAGGTCTTTGCTAAGGAAGGTTTGGCACAGTGAAGTTGGAAGGCCTAAGCACAGTGTGCTCACGATAATACTGCACTGCAAAATCTGATGCAATAATTAGGTGCATTTGCCAGGTAACGGGGCCTTCATGGGAGTCTCGTTGGGAGAAAAAATGAAAATGCAGCCACACTGAAAAGGGTAACCCTAATTAGTGCTGCGGGAAATCATCTGCAGGGACTGAAATTAGGTTGCCAGAGTCAGCGCTCTTCCAGGGCAGAGCTCTGGCTGGGCCACGCAGACTCACCAAAAGGCTTTTCCTTCTGCAGAGGCACGTGCCGACGTGCACAACACAGAGTGTAAGGGGGCATGCGGGTATTTCAGAGGGACAGGCTCAGATGGGTAACTGCTTACAACTCTTGTCTCACCCTCCCCGATCTCTCCGTGGGGCTGTGCCAGTGAGGCAGGCGCAGGTCAGTGGTCCTGCTGAGCTTCCCCCGCCACAGCGTACGGGGGCTGTATTTGGCTTTGCAAGAAAAAATTATGAACAGAAATGTCTTAGTAAGGAGGGTGGTGCGTACTGTGGTGTCCTCTGCTGCAAAACCTGATTGGGAAACTCAGCCTGGCAAGGCACAGCAGCTGAAACTCCTGGGAACTGCTTGAGCCCCTCTGTTGAAATGATCTGCATGTTGGTGTGGAGAAAAACAGCTGTGACGGTGCAGGAAAGCCACGGTGACATCAATCTAACCCCAAAGGGACGAAGCATGAAGGGCTGAATTTGCTCACTTGTTATCCCTGGGCATGATGTCCCCTGGAAAAACCATTAACTGCTCTGTGCTGACCAGCAAACTGTTCCCAACAGCATGCTAAGCCAAGGCACTGGGTCATGCAGTTGCTCTGGACATTTGAGGTTATAAATCAGAATTAGTTGCTCATAGCACAAAGAATTATGACCTAAGAATCTGTCATCATCAGTAAGTCCTAAGGGACGATGGCTATTCTGGGAATTTACATTAAGTAAATGCTTGAGGTATCTCTCTGTAGACTGTTATCCACACCCACCCAAATGCACTTGAAAAAACCACCTAGAATTCTTAAAATTAACATTTTTGGTGAGAAAAGAAGCTGGCAAAAACAGAATAAAAGCTACAGCCACTGAAGATTTGAAGATGACAGGCAGAGCCAAGGTAGAGCAAAGTGAGATCCCAAAATGGGAATGCACACCAAAGAGGAGTGTGCAGGACCTGCAGAGATGTGGCTACGGAAGGAGGGACCTTCCTCTCCTCACTTTCAGGGTCACGCTGCGGGTCCCCACACCTGAGTCAGTCACCATGGGCCCCGTTCACAGCCCTCAGAGAGGAAAAGACACCTCTGGGCTGGAAATCATCTGGCTAGTTCAGATGTCCCCAGTAGGATGAATTGAACTGCCCAGAAAGGCCTCCGCGCAGTTCGTTCATTTATTTTGCGTCAATAGTTCGACAAGCTTCACTAGCTAACGCAACTGAAATAGCTTCACATTATTGGATTGTGTAAAGTCTGTCCTTTTCTGTCCCTCTTCATCTGTTTTTTTTTTTTGTTCTTTTTGCTTGTATGTAGCTCTATCCAGCACTAGGAAGAGAAATTAAAACAGAAACTTTAAAACTTGTTTTTAGTGTTTCAGGCTGGTTACTTTATCCAATTAATATGTATAAAGGAAAGAAATATAAGTGCGCCCACAAAGCCTTGAGACTGATGGGTAGCCACACTGGGTCATTTCAGATGTTCATCTTAGCCCTCTGTCCGTCAGTGATCAAAAGCGTCATCTAGGGAGAGGTGCGGGATAAGCGTATAACGAGGCTTCTCTTCTAACAAAATGCAGGACTGTCACAAATGTGAATCAGTTTTAACAAGCAAATATGAGAAGCCCAAATGAAGACTTACCCTTTGTATCTCTGCTTGCACATACACATCGCTGTACAGCGAGTGCTGAACAAGTAAACAAAGTTCTGAGTATTTTTCGGGGGGAAAAAAGGAGGTCAGCTACATGACTTTCATCAGCAAAGGTGCTGCCATAACAGGAATCAATTCTCTGTGACACAAAGCATTTGTGCTCATGAGGCTATTACGCAGATAGTAAATGACGTTTAAAATCACGAATGCCTGGTAGTCCTTAACTGTCTGCAATCATGACAGCTGTGTGCAACCAATGCTTCAGCTTCTAATAAAGGCTGAATAGAAAATGCTTGACATTGCAAATTGATTGCCTGTGTGGTTCTTCAGTGAGTCAGGATATTCTACTGTTTTTTAAAGCAACTGTAGCCAAGGAAAAGGTCTCAGAAATCATTCATTTTGAAGCAACGCAGGAAAGCTGTATTTGGCTGACATGGAGAATTAACAGGGGAGAAAATTAGGACAGACAAGGAGCTCAGAGCAGATGGGTGCTAGCAACAAAGAACAAACCTGTAGCAATGTGAAAAAGGGGTATAACTGAAAACACCTCCAAAAATGTGTATTTTAATGTGCCCACTTACTTCAGATCCCATTCCCAAATGTCTCTGGAAAGGGTATGCTTCCTGCTACAGCTGGTATCACACACCTCCTCTGGCAAAGCTCCCGTTCAAAAGGAAGGTTTCAGACAAGGTGCTAAAACCAAAGCGAAAAAGAATACAGAAACTGAAATCTTCCTCTGCTGAGAGCAGCTAAATGGCACGATTCTGCCACAAGTCTCTAATGAGCTACTGGTTTTACTAAAGCTTGAAAACTCGACCATATTGCCATTAAACAGCTTGGAAAGCAGAAGGTAAAGCACAAGAACCAAATCTGATTCCCTGTGTTAAAACCAGGCAGGATGATGATCTCAAGACCCAGATTCAGTTTCCAGGAGGTTGCCCTCGCTCCCAGGCTGAGTCCAAAAAGGGGGGCTTGCTGCTCTGAGGTGCGGGTTGCAAAACCTTTCCTATGAGCAAAGTTCAGGTAAGAGTTTCAGAAGCTCTCAGGTGAGTTTCCCAAGCAGCTCTCTGCCAGAAAGAAAAGTCCTCTTTGGGCAGAACAGTCCGTTATAACTCTGTAGACTTCTTTTTCCCCATCTGAACCTTCTTCTAAAGCATTTGAAAGCTGCCAGTGTGCATATACAAAACAGTGAGCTGCCTGACTACCCAAGACAGCATGCATAGTCCCTGTTCCAGTACACTCTACCAGGTACACAACAGGAGGATGAGACTACAAACGTGTCCTCGGTACTAGAAGACAACGGCCAAACAGATTGACTTTGCTTTAAAATATGTGCGCTGCATAATACGTTCAAGTAATACATTCAAGTGTTAGAATTAACTAGTAGCACTTACAGATGCTATCGAAGAGGATGCTGTTTCGTTGAAGTGTTTGCAGTAGCATTTGGTGCTACTCCCCCTGCTAGTGAGTGGTAAAATTTCTGTGTGCCTACCAGAGGTGAGCAGAGTAAGAAAACAAAGTACTTTTCTGCTGGAGACTAGCGTATCTATTCATCTAGCTATAATAACTTCTTGTGCTCTGTGAGCACCCTTTGTATATCCATTGTGGTACCCAGAAATTCCCCTCAGAGAAGACACTAGGCAAAGACAGGCTCTTTCAGGGTCTTGCTCCCACCCGTCTCTGAGTTAGGTCTCCCAGGCTTCCTTCAACATGCGCTTCCGTCTCTGAGCGTAACAGAAGGTTGTCTTGGAAAACAGAAGTTTTGAGTGATTTAATACTGAAATACCACAACCGAAATGAAACTCTAGAAGTCTTGAATCAAAACATTTCACTGCAGCTGAGCCAAACACCTTCATTGCAGAACTTGTTGCAGAAACTCTAGGAAATTCCCAGGGTCCAAAGCCCGTGAAAGTTAGTGGGGCTGACTAAACACAGGAGTGGACTGATGGTTGTTTGAAAGCAGGTATCATCAGTTTGATGATTTTGGTCTGTGGTGTTTCCAGGAACCTTCATGAAAGGTAAATTTGGCAGGTAAAACCCAGCCAGGACACATGCTCCTTCCTGCCACAAAGCGGCAATTCCCCTGCTAGTTACC